AACGGTGCGCCACAGACTCCAGCAGGTGATGGCTGTGTGTTTTTAGATTCCTACGGGGCAGGGGAGCTCATTCCTAATCCGGAGCCAGCCCGCAGCAGCGCGATATAACCTACGTAATTTGGTATATAAGTCACTCCGGAGTATAAATCGCAGGACCGACCAGACTATGAAAGTAGTGCGACTTATAGTCCGGAAAATACGGTAGTTATTAGTATTTGAGATAAATTAGCAGGCTAAATACATTTCATATATTTCTAAAACTTAATACCTGTTTGTATCTTGTACAGCCAAGTAGCCTTTATTCTGGACTCAGGCCAATTCACCAAAAGTAAAGACATTATACAGATGAAGTAAGCACAAGATAATTCCGTTTCTTCCAGTAAGTTATCATGAGAACCATAACAAGAGAGCCTGTTAACAGTCATGTGAAAATAATAATTAAAAAGTGCTGCTTCCAGTGATGTGTTGAGCTGTTTTTGGATTGTGGCACAGTCGTGGTAGTCCTCGTCATTTATCCTGAATGACAGCAGAATTTTTGTGTGCTTGGTTTGGCTGGCGTTTTGTTGTTCAAAATCAACAAAAATGATGTGCCTGAATTGGATTCCAGGGCAGTAAACGATTTGGATATTGAGATCCTTCATTTCAGGGAGGTTTAGGTTTTATGTTTGCATCTCCCAGGGTAATTATTTTTCCTGTGGACAGGAGTTGGTCACTCCTCATTACCTTGTTTATCTCTGTGGTGGAGATGTACAACTTTCTGTTTTAGTTGTTTGATTCAAGCCACTTTTAAAGCTGCTGTTATGGCCAATTCCATTGAAATTTTGGAAATCATCAGTTTTATTTATTCTTCTTATAGCAAATCTACAGAACAAGCTCTAGGTTTTGAACACAAGCCCCCAGAACACTCACTTCTGGCATAACATCGTTGAGACGTTTCAGCCAGAACCGGAAACCCGCATTGCCGGAGGAAACGAGAGAGTGCAGTCCTGTCATTGTTTCCTAGCTCCAAACGTCTTTTGCGGTTTGTGACTTCAAATAGTACATTTTTAGTGACTCTGGTAATTTGTCCTAAAGTTTATGTGGTAGCAGCTAGCTATTCCTCCTTCTCTAAAATTACTGAGCAGAGAACCTCTCATACCAGTTGTGTTCTGTTGATAAATACATGAGTGCATAATGAATGGAAGAACCAGGAAGGTGAAGAAGTACCGCGGTTCGGCCAGACCAACAACCAGATGGTCCAATAGTTGCTTTTGGTCCAAAACGTTATATGAGAGAAACACTTATATATATATATATATATATATATATATAAAGTTGGAGAAACTACTTAAATTTATTTGAATAAACAATCTTTAAGCAAACTTTTGAATGTATATTCATTTAATTAATTTAATCTGTAATAAATGGTGTATGTATAACTGATGTGTCTAATGATTTGATGAACCTGTTGCATAATTCCAGACTGTGGTGGTGTAGAAGCAGATGAGTGAAAGGGAAAAGCCCCAAAGCCTCCTCAGAGAGTCGACTATCTACACTGTTCCGGATAAAGGACTGAGGAAAATCCCGGAGCGGCAAAAGAAAAAGAACCCCAGGGCTGACTTGTCCTGTCAATTCAAGATCATACATTAAAGTCCAGATCATGCAAAATCAAGTGATTGTATCTAAAGGGATGCTGTAGGGATGTTCTGATCCAATCACGTGATTTTGAAAGGATCGGGAGAAATAAACCGGATTTAACCTTTTAAAACAACAAATGTGACATTTTAAATTCCTCCTTAGACAAAGACTTTGAAATAGAATAAAAACAGTTACTTTCCAATATCAATAAGCTCCTCTTCATCAATATTATTTGTTTCAATTCAATTCAAAAATACTTTATTAATCCCAGAGGGAAATTGATTACTGTAGTAGCTCAGAATAATAATAATAATCAAGTCATCAAAGAGTTGTTGTATATTACAATGGCTGTTGGCAGGAAGGATCTCCAGTAGCGGTCAGTGTTGCAGCGAAACTGAAGAAGCCTCTGACTGAAGACACTCTTCCGTTGTCGGACAGTCTTGTGAAGAGAATGCTCAGGGTTGTCCATCATTTTCTCGATTCTCTGGAGAATCCTTCTTTGCATTATCTCCTCCAGTGGTTCCCGAATCGTCCCCAGAACAGAACCAGCCTTTTTTATTAAGCTGTTGAGCCTTTTCAGGTCCCTGCTTCTGATGCTGCTACCACAAAAGATGATGGCTGAAGAGATTACACTCTCAACAACAGACTTGTAGAAGATCTGCAGCATCTTGCTACAGACACTGAAGGACCTAAGCATCCTCAAGAAGTGCAGTCTGCTGTGTCCCTTCTTGTAAACGGCTTCGCTGTTCTTTCTCCAGTCCAGTCTGTTGTCCAGGTGAACTCCAAGGTATTTGTATTCCTCAACCACCTCCACTTCTTCTCCCATGATGGAAACAGTGTTTGACTCCACCCTGTTTCTTCTGAAGTCTAAAATCATCTCCTTTGTTTTGTTCACGTTCAAGGTCGGATGATTGTTTCCACACCATGCCACAAAGTGCTCCACCAGCTCTCTGTACTCAGCTTCTTGTCCATCTCTGATACACCCGACAACTGCAGAGTCATCTGAGTATTTCTGTAGATGACAGGTCTCTGATTTGTACTGGAAGTCTGACGTGTGCAGTTTGTTAGGTAGTCTTTAATCCAGGCGATAGTTGAGGCCCCCACCTGTGTCTTCTGGAGTTTCTGGCAAAGTAAATCAGGCTGGATTGTGTTAAATGAACTGGAGAAATCAAAGAACATGACCCTCACAGTGCTGCCTGCTTTGTCCAGATGACAGTGGGTTGGTAGAAGCAGCTGGATGATGGATTTTTCAGCTGGAAATGTTCTTGTACGAAAACAACACTGCAACGCCACACAATTTATGACGGGCAGAGATTCGGACACTATGCTGCAGTTAGCAAGCAGGCTAACGTAGAGCTAATGCATCTCCTCAGGAGAGCTAAAATATCTGCAGCTTGATGGTATTTAAACCCAGATGGAGAAGGCAGCGCTACAGACACTTTTAATGCGTGCATACTGGACATTCAGCATGCTGGAAGGGACACCGCTTCATAATTTGCTGCCTTCAGACAAACTGCTTTCGCGGATGGCATTTCCCTTTGGGCATCAACAAAGCTAATAACTGGTCTCCATTAATTCCCAGTTTGCCACTAACAGTACGCTAATAAACAACGAGAAATTGCCAACAGACTGCAAAACGCCTGACTTTCTAGTTCTCCTGTAGCACCGGAGCTGTGCACTGGAGCTACAGGTGTTATGCGGGAAATAGTTACCCTCCCTGCCGCGCCTCCGCCTGCCTGCTCTGTCACAGAAACATGCATTGCTCAATACAGCTGCACACTGAGGGAGTAAACAACTTCAAATAAGAGCAACACTGCTACGTTTAAATACATTAATAACATAAAACACGCTTTTTAATCAGTGTACTTCCTAAATAAGTGAAAGAGAAACTTAAAGGACAACATGGATGTGTTTAATTCTTAGTTCAATGCTTTCCTGAAAATTATTTCCTTTTTCTTCTTATTTTATTGCTTTCCTGATCTGGACTCGGCGTCGGCAGATCCTGGAATCAGATCGGGAGCAAAAAAAAAACGTGATCGGAACATCCTAAGTTAGAACACTACAGTATGTACAGGGGTCAGCGAAGAGGGTTTTAGTACAGAACAATGTGTGATGTGGATGACTTGATACAAAACTGAATGAAGCATACAAATGAACCTTGATGAAAAAACAACCACAAAAAATGGTTAAGAGTTCATCCTTTAATCGGTGGGTTGCAGGTTCAAAACCCTTGCTCTGTCACTCGGATCCTTGGGCAAGCTATTTCACCCTACCTACCTGATGGTGGTGGTGGTCAGAGGGACCGGTGGTGCCCATGTACGGCAGCCTCGCCTCTGACTGTGAGTCAGTGTGCTCTAGGGCAGTGGTGTGTGAAAGGGTGAATGACTGTAGTGTAAAGCGCTTTGGAGTCCTCCAATTCAGAAAGGCACTATTCAACTGCAGGTCATTTATCAAGTACAACATACATAAGAAGCCACAGTATAACCTGGCCTTTTCAGGACGTACACAATACTAATAAAAATACACTGTGTGTATTTTTGGTCCAATAGATCATCTTAGAACTGTGCAAACAGCTTTACTGAAAGAGATGACTATTTTTATTTTATTATTATTGTACATCGCTGCGCTTTTGCAGAGGTATGCTCCATCTCGGTCTCTTCGCTCAGCCGAGCAGGAACTTCTGGTGGTCCCCCAGTCGAAATATCGATCGAGGGGTTGTCGTGCTTTTTCTGTTTTGGCTCCAACTCTGTGGAACGAATTGCCGCTGAGCATTAGGCAGGCACCATCCCTTCAAGTCTTTAAGTCTCGTTTAAAGACTCATTTTTATTTGATTGCGTTTTAGCGCTAGGGTTCTTTGGATTGCCCTGACATTATGGATTTTAATTCTTCTTCTTTTTAACCCAGATGCTTGATTTTATTTTGTCCACCATTTGTTTTTGATCGATTAGTCTTATTCCGTTATCTCTCTTTATTTGTAATATTGTTTGCTTGATATTTTATGATTTTATGTTTTTATCTTGCTTTTATGCCCATGTACTGGGAATGTTTTTCTTATGATGATGCTGTTCAGCACCTTGGGCTTCCGATAACGTTGTGGAAGGTGCTCTACAAATAAAATTTGATTGATTGATTGATTGATTGATTGATTATGTCTTCAACGTGTTGTGTAGTTTTGTTGATAATTATTTGGTAAAAATCATAATTATACTCTCATATCGAGAGAAAAAGCCTCACTAATACTTACAAAGTCCTCTGATGTTTGAGGGTACAGCTGTTCCTTTTCATCACAGCTCGTTTCTATCTGAATTGCAGAAATGTCCTCAAAAGGTCTCTGTAATCCTTTAACAAAGAAATAACACAAATCGGCCTTTTCGGTGTCCTACCGTGCCGCTAACTTTGACGTCGTACAGTCGTCCCCAGTCGTCCTCATGGCTGTCAACCATCATCATGCTATCATTGTCCTCCAGGAACCACTCTGCCTGCAGGTCAACCTTCACCTCCTCCCCCATGGAGTGCATACCTACAGCAGGGAATAACCCCTCTGCTGACATGGCAACCTCTGCTAAACCCACCTGAAGAATAAAAAAGTAAAAGAATGAATGCTGGAGAAGAATTCAAAAAGGAAGACAAAACCTTTCAAATCTATAATAATAACATTTTGTTGTCAGGCACCTTAGATCAGAATACAAGGTGTGATGAAAACCTAAAGCTAAAATAAAAATAGTAATGATAAAGAATAGAAAAATAATGGATTGCATTGATGAACAAAGCTTTTCTAATGACTATGCTAGCTTGAATGACTGTATTTTCAGGCAAGATGCTAAAGAGTCAGAGTTATGGCCATCAGGTGAAAGCTCAGGGCCCATGGTGGTTGGACGGGGAACAGTAAGTTATGGAAGGGTATGATGATGAGAAGTCAGGTTCTGAATAGCCTTAAAAGGAAGAAAGTGAAACTATGAAAAATGGCAGAAAGTGGTTCAAAGAGAGAGTTCTGCTAATAGTTAACTTAGATAAATTAAGTTTCGTAAGACACTCTGGAGAATTCCTTACATTACTTAGGACATGATGGGACCAGGCTGTGGATCTGACTAGTAGTGTTGTTTAGCAGAGAGGTGAAGGGGAAACAGTAATGGTCCAAAATGCAAATTTATTTAACAAAAGTTGGATTATAGAGTTCTAGATTTTATTACTGGACAGACGGACGAATAAAGCATCAAAAGAACTTACCTCTTTGCCATTTTTGGTGAAAAAGACGTTTGTAACACCTGCTTCGAAATTTTCCGAGTGTATTCCACATCCGATGCGATCGCCCCGAGCACATTTTGGTCCAAACTGTTTCCCCACAGGATTCCCATTGTATAACCTAAAGTCAATGATGGGAATTAACTACTTTTTATAGATTTAGGAACAAACACATGCATGATGCAATTGGATGTACAAATTACCTTTCAAATTCACTCGATGTGCATCAGTTCATTGTGACTTAATAGAAGTCAATCCATTTAATGAGGACATGAAATGTGTTTCCAACTACCCCCATTGTCTGTTGTCTAGCTCATTGTTCACAGTAATGTTTCGGGAGTACAAAATTAGTCCCATTATTGACGAAAGATGTTCATTTGATTGTATTGCATTGAACTGGATCTCAAGATCCACTCTCCCATCTATTTTCTTCCGCTTTATCCGGAGTCAGCTCCCAGAGGCAGCAGTAAGCAGAGAGGCCCAATCTCAAGATGTTGAATCAAACTCACATTTAATGGTATTTCATCAAATCAGTTTTATTCGCTCATTACTAAAACTATTGGCAGCATGTGGAGATGTGCATCAGATCATCCAAAGCCTGATTTCCTGCCGGTCAGCAGGTGTTTAACGCTCATTAATCATCATTAACAACAACAATAATGAAAATGATAATAATATAGCTCTGCAGGGAAAAGAAGCAAAAATATTCCAATAATGCATGACAGAAGGATTGCGCTGTAGCGTGTCAACGAGTGTGGTGGACTTACTTGCCATTGTCAGCGTGGTAAGCTACAGAGTGTGGCAGCCAGCCGGGCTGGTGGTCCAGTCTGTAAAACTTAGGCACCAGGCCCACAGCAATGGTTCCCCTCACCCCCGTGTCCACGATTGTTACCTAAACACACACAAATATCCCCACAACAGTCACACTTTATGTAATCCACCACAACTGTTGTTTGCATACACAGTATATTAAACGTACTATTGTTAAATGTAAAGCGGGAGTATGAAGCCAAAACCAAATATCTAAAATGTGTTTGAAATTAAACTTAATCAAGAAAAAGGAAGCACTCTTAGAAACCTCTGCCTTTCACAGACAATCCGACTAAACATTTAGAAGAAATTCTAAATTTCATTACTCCACAATATGCTTTTCATGATGCATTATTTCAATAACTCTGCAAAAAAAAAAAACATCTAAAAATCTTATGAGATACTTCTGTATTCACCAGAGTGTAATGATCACAGCTTGTAATCCGAAAACCACTCAGAGATTCATCCAGCTGATTAAATAATAACCAAACTATGACATTTGTCCCTGAGGCCTAGTCTCCAACAAGGCTCAAAAGCATGAATGACGATCAAAATAAATGTAAAAAAAACTTTGATAAACCTTTTAATGACAGTGTTACTTTCAACTTACCAACACCTCACCCAACACATTATTGTACCATAGGTTTAATTAATGCATTATAACACAATTATTACAAACACTCCTATACATAAAGAATACAGCAAACATGAGACACTTGCCATCTAACAGCTTATGGAGAGGGCTTAGATCCAAATGTCTGACATACAGTTTTGAATCAGACTGAAGACCCAATTCAGAGAAGATTGTAAAAGCATTAAACGGATATTCCACACCAAAGTAAAGTTTTGTCTGTCGGCATATTCCCCAGAGTTAGACAAGTAGGAAATGGCTCTTTGTAACCAGCCCATTCATTCTCTTGATCAGGCAGTACTCCTTTAGCTTAGCATAAAATAATGTCAATGAAGGGTAACAGCTAGCCTTGTGTGTGGAAAAAAAAATCATTAAAATTACTCAGTAGTAGGCTTGGGCGGAATGACCATATTACCGTTTATAGCCAGTAGGGCTGGTCAATAAATCGAAATTTATCATTATTGAAATTTCTGACTCTTTTTCCCATGTCAATAAATTTGATGATAAAAAAGTTAAAAGATGTGTGTAGGTTGGCATCGTTCCTGTCCCTTTAAGATGTACCACCTTGAGCCACGTAAAAATGTGACTCAACTATCACACGTGACAGCCCCATCTAGTGGACAACTATTGTTTCTGTGCCGACCTGTAGTTATCGTCCATTTATCGTTATCGAGGTGATATCCTCAATATATTGTGATACTGATATTAGGCCATATTGCCCAGCCCAAACAGCCAGTGTTAGAAAAATTGCAACGGGTCAGTTCCAATATTGTCATTAAAATAAAATAAAAATTAAAAGAGGGCACATAGGAGACAAGGATTGAAATAATATAAATAAATAAAAACATTACTAGAAGTCATTCAATGTATAAAACAAATGTGTGGTTGCATTTTTCATCCATCCATACATTCTCTAAAGCTTATCCAGAGTTGGGTCGCAGGGACAACAGTCTAAGCAGAGGCCCAGACTTCCCTCTCCCCAGCCACTTGGGCCAGCTCCTCCGGAGGAATCATAAGGAGTTCCCTGGGCAGGCGTAAAACATAGCCCCTCCAGCGTGTCCTGGGTCTTTTTTTTTTTTTTTTTTGGTCTTCTCCCGATTGAACGTGCCCAGTAAATCTCACCAGGGAGGCATCCAGGAGGCCACCTAAACTAGCTCCTCTCAATGTGGAGGAGCAGCGTGTCTACTCTGAGCCCCTCCTGGATGACCAAGCTTCTCACCCCATCCCTAAGGGAGAGGCCAACCACCCTGAGGAGAAAACTAATTTCAGCTGCTTGTATCCGCCATCTCGTTCTTTGGAGAGGACCACCACGACTCACTGGGGATCGAGAAGACTAGGCAGATACACACGCACGCGCACACGCGCACGCACGCACACATACACACATCTACACAACATATTTACCAAGTAGTGTTTCAATGGTTACATTGTGATTTCTTAGTAAATATTCTATTTGGTGAGGGATGAACTTTATTGTATTTATCCTAGTGAATCTATAATTAAACGGATAAACTAGCAGTAGCACATTCAACGTCAAGGAAAGTAAAAAGTTATTATCAGGAGAGGGAGAAAGTTTAAGTGGTTAGCAGCAGTGTGCTAGATGATGGCCCCCTCCATGAGGCCACCACAGCTCAGCAGAACATCATTGTAGCTTCTTCTGGGGAGAAAAACACTTAGAGAGAAAATAAAGTTAACAGCTGAAATTGCAGAAAATAATACAGTTAAAGAGCAGATTGTAGAAGAAAGCAGTAGAGTGTGAAAAGTGGTCAGTGTATCCTCCAGCAGTCTAAGCCTATAGCAGCATAACTACAGAGATAACTCTGGATAATCTATCCTATTTAGATGGAGGCATGTTGGAGGCAGGGCATGGGAGAGTCGTCTTTACCGACTGTACACTCCACCTCCCTCTACTCTCCCACTTGTCCAGATCTGGGCTAACATCAGATTTTAACCATAGGCCCCATCAAATAAAAATGTTTTAAGCCTAGTTTTAAAAGTAGACAAAGTGTCTGCCTCACAAACTAAGGCTATGAGCTGGTTCCACAGGAGAGGAGCCTGATAACTAAAAGATCTGCCTCCCATCCTAATTTCAGATATTCTGGGAACCACCAGTAGACCTGCAGTCTGAGAGCGAAGTGCTCGGTTAAGAACGTATGGAACAATCAGATCACTGATGTATGATGGAGCTTGATTATTAAGAGCTTTATATGTGAGAAGGAGGATCTTAAAATCTATTCTGAATTTAACAGGCAGCCAATGTAGGGAAGCTAAGACAGGAGAGATATGAATATTCCATGAACCTCTGGAAGAACTCCTAGACCCTGAGGCAGCTGTAGCTCAGTTAATTTCCTTCATATTGGCCTAACATTTGCTGTCGTGGTAGCAGCAGTTGTGACAATGTTTGAAAGAACAATAATTAAACAAAGCGGGAAGCAGCAAAAGTTCAGGCGGCCTCCGTGCAGAGAGAATGTGGACACGAGCAAAGCTGCACGACGTCTTACAGTAGCAGTCAAATGGATTCCTTGTGAAAGCAAGACAAGTGGAACCGAGGAAAGCAGTGACGCATATGTCTACAGAAGCCTGACCTTTATCAAAATAAATGCTCTTAAATTCTAGAGATATCTTACAAACTGACAGCGTTTGCGTCACAGTGTGGAGGATAATGTATTGTAACCTCTCGGTAATGACCCAGAAAAAACCCACAAATCTAAATGTCAGAGAGATCCGTCAGAGCTAGAAATGAGACCTTTGTTTGTGTGAAGAAAAGTTTCACATCTGACAAAAAGTCACTTCCAGCATGTTATAGCAACATCTTACAGCTACACAAATAATACTGATGTCCTACGGAGTCAAAGTAAAGGTTGGAACCATTTTGAAGTGTTGCGATTGTGTTGTGATTTGCCGTCACGCCACATGTGTTCAGCTACCAGGTTCTGATGCTGCCCGATCCTGGTATGCTCCATATTTAGCCCACATTGGATCACTTTCTAAATAAACTTTTTTTTTCTTTTGAAGACTAAAGTGAGAGAAGTTTGCATCCATCTCTGGAACAATCCTGCTCCAGTGTGCACCTTCTACAGCCAACCAGGCTCAACACCAGCAGCTAATTTGTGGCTGAACGTCAGAAAACATCTCGTCAACAATCAGCTAAATACTTTTATTAGATTTTAAGTATCTGCTGATACCAAGTCCCAATCGATTCTTTTCAGCAAAGAATTTAAATTAAAAAAGGATATACTCTTTAGGCAAGCATTAAAACAAGAAGAAACACACATCCAAGTTGTCCTTCAAGTTTCACTTTCCTTGTTTAAGAAGTGCACTGATTAAGAAACATGTTTATATTATGAGCATGTTTAAAAATAGCAGCGTTTCTTTTATTTCAAGTTGTTTGCTCCTTCACTATGCAGCTGCTTATTGACACACGTTCCCACGCCTCAACAGGCAGGTTAACGTTTCCCTGTACAACACCTGTAGCTAATGCAAAGCTCGGGAGTTGCAGCAGACTTGGAAACCTTGATGTTTCCCAGTCTGTTGGCAATTTCTCTTTGTTTATTTGTTCTCTTTGTTTACTTGCGTATCTTCTTCTGTCAGCTGGCTCCACGTTTTTCATGGAGCTGTATCCTTTCCAGCATGCTGAATGCCCAATATGCACACGTTACAAGTGTCTGTAGCTCTGCCTTCTCCGTTTGGGTTAAAATACCGCAAAGCTGCAGAAATTTTTGCTCTCCTAAAGAGACACATAGCTTTGTGTTAGCCTGCTTGCTAATAGCTACACCTTGGTGTCTGAACCCCTGCCTGCCGTAAATTCTCTGACGTTACTGAAATTAAAACTAAGCTATTGTTATTCCATTAGAAAATCTCCATCTCTGGATGAATTTAAAAGTCACAACTGTTGTTTTAAAAGGTTAAATCCAATCTTTTTTTCCCCAATCTCAATCCTTTAAAAAAATCACATGATCGTGCCCACATGATCAGATCAGACCATCTCTACTACATATAAAAAGCAGTAAATCAGCTTTGCAACATAACTAAAATAATGTTATTCAGTTTGCCTGCTGAAAAAGACTCATACTGAAAGATACCACCTAACCCACAACCCATACATGATTTTACGCTGCTAGGACATTTTTCATTTTTTGCACTGGTGAATTCTGACTGTAGAGGGCATTCCAGATGTGATATAAAGTTAAGATAATTATCAGCAATTGCACTCCTAAAGCCTACATTGATGGTTGGGTGGTAAAGCAATCCTGTACTCAACAAATTTTTTTTTTTAATTTAAATTCGCAAAACACTCATTGTCTAGAATTCCGCTGCATGCTGGAGTGGTCACGTTACATCTGGCAGCAAAGTCAGTTATAATACACACCGATGCTGTCTTGCAGAACAACTTACCTCAAAGTAGCAGTTTCCCTTTGATAGTGGATGGCCGGCTACATAGCAGCCCACTTCCTCAGAGTTCCCTTGGTAACTGCAGAGGAAAAAGAAAAATTACAGGTTACCAATCAGTGTGACTCCAAACAGGTCCAGCTGTTACTTTAACTATGAGACACCTCAGCTGAAAGAAAATATCCCACTTAGGGAAATATGCAGAAATTCTACTGAAGATGATGGCAATGAAAGAAGATGCAGAACTAAATGTAGTTAAATTGGAATAAATATATTTAAAAGACCTTGGTCCAATCAGTGATTGTCTCCTATTTACCTAAATATAGGCCTCTGGAATGTTTGTGTGTACGTCAAAATGGACCAAAGAGTGATGAGGGAGGGTATATTACCCACATATTAACTTAAACTTAGAGCTGTGCAACAGTGAGTTATATAACCATAGAACATTAACCCTAACACTTCAAAAGATCACAAAAGAAAGTAATTAACTAAAAGCTACTATTAAATTCTTTTGTCACATTCTTTTTTGCAAGCATGCTCTTATTTGACACTTCCACAGGCTAAAATGCTTGTTGTTTTGGAAATTTAGCACAAATAAAAATGACAGAATGAAAGAAAAACAAAATGGTGGCAATGGCGCTTTTCCAAAAACATAAAAAAAGACACCATTATTTTGTTCTGGGCAATACAAAAGTAAAACACAAAAATATTGATAAATTACCAAAACAACACAGCCAAAACAGGTTGTCGGGTGAACACAAGTTTTCATTTAGTCTTGCTCTTTCCTCATGTGGCAATTAGCTCTTGCTTTTAAAAAAAATAGAAATTTGTACCGATTTCAAAGGTAAAGTTTTCCCCCCATATTTCCCCAATCACATATATAGTATGGGATATCACATCCTTGCGTGGTTTTACTGAAGACACCTTTAATCACGCCTTTAGGCCACATAAGGTGTGATGTAGGGGGCAGGATGAACCTGCCTATAAATACCCCTTCTCACACATCATGCACACACACCTTCCAATTAACCTCTGCCAGCTAGCTGCAAGTAAGCACTCTAGCTTAACTGTTCAAGCCGAATTAGACCGCTGCCTGCTGGTATGTGTTCCTATTCACCTAGCCTAACCCTAACCCTAGCACCACTGAACTCCACTAGCAACTACGTTATTGGGCCTCATGGTTCGGGATGAACACCCGGCCTGACTTGAAGAAGCATAAGTCTGCTATACGATCCTGCCCGCAGGGATTCAGCTTCATGCTCCATGACAAGGAGATATATAAAGCTTGCCAAATCTGTCTCGGCATTGTCCACACCAGAGGGGCATTGACAGAACCAGACGCATGTTCGTTCTGCAGCCAGCTTAGGCACTCAATGCTAGAACGTAGGGTCATTTTCATGCTAGGAGAGGCTGCTGTCTCCTAACAAGTCCCTATGTTCTCTGAGTCGAGAGACCTGGCTTCGTCTGAGTCTGACGAGGAAGGCTTCTCGGTCACAGTCCTCGCTCCCAGCTGGACAGACCACATGGACTTCATAGATGGGCTAACTGGGACCCAGGACAAGGACAATGGCGTTCTGCACATCCACATGGATGACCGGAGTATGTCGGGAGATGGCGATTTCTCAGCGGCTCAGTGTGAGACACTGACCACCATCACCGCCTTTCCAGTGACCACCAAGGACGACCTCTCCTTTATTCCTCTTTGTCGCCGTGTTGGCGAGAAACTAGACACTTCTCCAGCTCAGAAAGCCTTCATGCTTGCAGGGCTTTTTTCTTCCATCAAAGCCGGCTGCAGTCAAGAACTGGCTGCCCATGTTCCCAGACTTTGTGACAGAACTAACATCCTGCTAGAACAAGCCGCTGTCCACACGCACTACTGTGCCTGGTTTCACCCAGTATGTGGACCTCGACTGAGCCGAGAAGGGCAGACTGGTTGGTCTCCCCTCAATGGAATCACTCTGGCAGCATACCTGGTGCCATCACACATCTGGGTGCGAGTGGCTCCCCTCTAAGCAATGCAGGTTCTCTGCATCCCAGCTAGCAAAAATCTATCAGGCTCAGGCAACCACCACTTGCTCTGAGTTCAGCTACCATGCTACAAACATACCAAGTTGTGTTCCTGTTGGAAATGGGCAACCATATGCCACCTGACAACCCCCTAACCCCCCTCCTGAATGAGATTCAAGTAACGGCCGGACTACATTTTCCGTACACCCCTCTGTGCAGCGCTCTCACTGAGGGGGGGAATGGCATCAATGGTGGTAGCCCAAAAGGCACCTGTGGCTAACCCTCTCAGAAATCCCAGATAAGGACAGGGCTGTGTATACGGATGAACCAGTGTCTACTGGGGGACTTTTCGGGCAGTTCTTGGATGCTATACAAAGTTTGAGCTCCGGAAGAAGCAGACCAAGGCGCTACGATGCATCGTTCCCAGATGGGATGCAAGAAGCAGGCCCGGTACGAGCTCACGCAAACCAAGGGCTACCCCAGAATGATCGTGCCTGCAGCCACCGGGGATGTTCTTCAGCAGCCACAATCCCAGAAGCAAGCTCCTCGGCAGTCGGCCTGGAGCAAAAGACCACCCCAGAACTTCAAGCAAGACTCTTCACCTCAAAGGAAGAAGACGCACTCGTCCTAGCAACGAGCCGTCTCCGTTTGGACCTCTTGAGAAGGGAGACATGTTCGCTCTGTGGTCCAGCCTGCCTTCAGAGCATGCAGTTCATGTGTTCTGAGACCCAAGCCTCAAATGGCGCTGCGTTCCCCACCCACAGTTCCTCAAGCAATTTTCCACAAAACACACAACTGTTTATTCTGTGACAGACGTGTTGATAAAGAAAAAATAAATGAATAAACTCAAAATCAACCATTACCTGCATGCCTCAGGGCATGTAAGCCCACAGAGATGTTTCTCCCTGCTCCGGTAGAGGGCAGCACCTCCTCACCCGTTGTATGACAGGTCAGTCATACAATGTGTGGAGAAAACTGTTGCTATGGGTTACCAGTTAAAGTTCCGGGTCAGACCAACACGTTTCCGCTCGGTTGCTAACATAATTGTGGGAATCGAAGCAATGACCGTTATAAGAGAGGAAATAAATACCTTACTGATGAAGGGAGCAATACGTATGGTCCCACCTTCGGAAACTAACAAAGGTTGGTACAGCTGCTACTTTGTGGTGCCAGAAAAAGAGGTGCATTGCAAACTGTGCTTCCAAACTATATTGCAACTCTTGGGCATGATGCTATGATCTCAGTGGTGCCGCTCGGACTTCTCCTGATGCGCACTTTTAAACACTGGACCCATCCCCACCAGCTGTACACGACATGTCATCTGCACAGAAAGCTAACCATAGCAGCTGCTTGCATGCTGGCCCTTCGCCCATTGAGGGAACTGGGTCTCCTGCACCGAGGTTCACCAATAGGCTGAGTGTCCTTCTGCAAGGTAGTGTGCACAGATGTTTGCCTGAAAGGGTGGCGAGCAATTTACGATGAAGTGGCGGTGAGAGGGATCTGGACTTCAGCTCAGTTCAAACTCCACATCAACTGTTTGGAATTGCTAGCAGTCTCACTGGCTCTGAGAAATTTTTAGAGGATACTGAACAATCAGCATGTTCTGATACAAACAGACAATAATACAGTGGTGTCACACACATAAATAAACAAGGGGGCACTCATTCGCTCCCCCTGTTGGATCTGTCCTGCAAACTCCTTCAGTGGTGCAGCGTTTGGCTTCTGCCTATCAGTGTGACTCATGTACCGGGCACCTGAATCTGGGAGGGTACTTGTTGTCCAGGGGCAGCCCAATGATGAGAGAGTGGAGGCTACACCCACTAGTAGTGGCTCAGATCTGGCAACGGTTCGGGAGAGCAACGGTAGATCTATTTGCAACCAGAGACAAGACTCACTGCCCCCTGTACTTTTCGATAAAAGATCGGAACGCTCCACTGGGGGTAGACGCACGTGATTAAAGGTGTCTTCAGTCAAGCAGCTCTGGCTAAACCAAGCTAAGTTAATAAAGCTTAGAAGAGCCTGCTTACCTCAGCACGTCTCCATCCTTCTGCAGTCTCGCGTATCTCTCTTGAGCAGGGCGACCATCACGAATACGGCGCCTCAGATTCAGAAGGCATCGGTGATGTAGCATGTTAATATCATCCATCTGAGTTAAAAGACAAATGAATAAAACTAAATTGCAGAAAATCATTGAAAATACTATTCTTTTACTGGTTCACTTGTTTATTTAATATAAATCTGCAGTCGTCTCTGGTATGAATGAATGCCTTGTGAGCCACTCTCTTTTAAAAAAAAGTTATTGCACAGCTGTTTTAGGAGTAGACATTTTTGGGAGGAGGAGAAGGGGGGGCTACAGTATTATTATTTATGATATGCAAACGTTTCACCTCTGATTAGCTAAGAGCAACGCAACTCTTCCCTGCCCTTTTCCCTCTTCTTATTGGGTAAAAAACTGCAACGTTGCTGTTTTATTTTCTCAAATAACACAAGTCTGAATGCAGTAACAGGCTGGCCATCAGGAGCATGGATTCAAAGTAGCTTTATCTCCTTCACAATGTCCAGGATGCTTTTCTGCTGCAGCCTGACAGCAGAGATTTCCACACTAGAATGTCGAGAGACTTTTTAATGTCCTCGACCTCCTCAACTGTTTGAATCCATTTCGAACCACATTATTCAGTCAGTCCAGGATGTGTCCCAACAGTTTCCATGTAGTTCGAAAATGTTAAATTAACTTGAACTGAGCAGGCTAATTGTTCTTACAAAGACTTAAATCAGCTCTGACTATATTTTTCTAGCGTTGTGATGCAATCATTAAAAATGCAGCATGCAATCATCATCCTTCAAGTTTACGAGCAACAGGTTCGCACACCAGGTGCGGTCTTCTGCTGCTGGAGTCCATCTGGAGCAGCTGTTGTGCTTCAGAGATGCTGTTCTTGTCAGGATCATAGCTTATCGGAGCTGCTACTGTCTTTCTATCATCTAGAACCCGCTGGACATTGACTGATGACTGTGGGTTTAAATCCCAGTAGATCAGCAGATTCTGAAATAATCAAACCAGCCCATTGGGCACAAACAATCATGTCACTCTGATAAAATCAAATGTCTTCTATGTTCTGATGATCAGTTTGAAATTCAACAGGTCATCTTTGCGATATCTAGTTGCCCAGATGAACTGAGCTGTTGCCATGCGGCTGGTTAGTCATCTACATTTGTATTAATATGCAGCTGTATATAGGTGTACCTAGTAAAGTGGCCTTTGAGTAAAGGCGGAAGTGCGTTTCATGCCCTTTCCAGCGATTTTCAGCTAAATCACGCAAAAACTAAGGAGCCGGTTTTTACAAAACACCCCGTAGAAGCGAAACAACTAAAGGAAAAAGTACGTGTTGTACTTCAAAGCTATAATGTATATGTATTTTTTTTAATATTTTTTTGTTGAATGCGACCACAGATAAGGATGCGCTCTTCATTAGACCACTTCGTGACTGAAGCAACGTCCAAAATCAGACGTGTCTCATCCCGTTTACTCAAACATTATACTGGAAAACAACTAAAAATTATGAAAACAATTAAAAGATTCATCTTTATAAAAATGTCAACTCGTTGCATCGACGCTGGGAGGGGGCGTGTCGCAACATATTCTCTCCAGCTAGCATAATTCCAGACAGTTAGCTACAAAACTGATTTGAACTCACATTCGCATGTTTAGCAGCAGCACTGCTGACCTCCTCGTTAGTGGACAGCACTTTAAAGACGTAACAATATGCTTGTCACTGTAAAATAGCTTGAATGTAGCCGTAAGCTAACCTTGCTTTAGCTTCTTTAGCGGAGAATGACGGTTAACCTGCTTAAGATTCGAGCCGTGAAACCAAGGTGAGTGGAGGCAGAGAACAGGGCTGTGCTCCGTCATTTATGTGTCTGTTGATCAGTTAGTGACTTACCTGGAATCCGTTAATAAGACAGAAAGACACACGTGTCCATCAGGGGACCCTGACATCTCACAAAACTCTGGAAACTAGAGTTCAGCGCTTCTCTGTGACGCCAGCGTCTCCAATTCTTAAACAACCAATCGCAGCAAAGTTTGAGAAGCAGCTTCGAGACGTTAACCAATCACGTGCTCCTGGTGAGTCTGCGGCCCTTTGCATGTTATCCTGGTTCAAGGGAGCGAAGGCAAGGCAAGGCAGCTTTATTTCTATAGCACATTTCATATTCAGGGGCAATTCAATGTGCTTTCCATTAGCAAGAACATTAAAATCAACGTGACGGAAAATACAATTTAAAAACAAAAAAGAAACTAAGTTAAAGTTAGAGTGAGCAAACACAGTGCAGAAGGTACAGCATAAAAACATTTATTCAAAGGCTGATGAGAACATGAAGGTTTTCAATTTTCATTTAAAAGTTACTAGAGTTGGGGCACATTTGAGGTAACGAGGAAGCTGATTCCACCTGTGAGCTGCATAGGAGCTAAAAGCAGCTTCACCCTGTTTGGTTCTGACCCGGTTCTACCAGCTGATCGCTTCCTAAGGATCTCAGAGCCCTGCTGGGCGCGTATACCTGAAGGAGATCTGACATGTATAATTCAGTAATTTTAAACAGAAGAAGAACATTGATGGTTCTAACAGGGGATTCGACTGACTTTTATGTTTGACATTCAGTCCCACTGCTGGAAAACTCGTTAACCAATAATTAACGCATAACTAACAGATCAGGATGTTTTAACCCATAGCAGCCTGATTAGTGGGAACTAATGTACACCCAAACTTCACGAGAATTATTAAGCAGAAAGATGCTGAAAGAGGATATTGATGAAGAAAAAAAGACTCATCCAAAACCATGGGTGTATCTCGGGACATCCTCTTGTTTTGTGGAAACAGACCTCAGCCTGGTGCAGTTGCTTGCAGGCTGATGGGAACACAAGGAGGCAGCTGATTTGTGCTCTTGTTGCCAAGACTCATCGGAACAGCAGACAGCTGTGATGCAGATTTGAGCCACGCACAACCCTGAATTCCAACAACGAAGTGTGTTTGTGCTTTGAAGAGCTCAATTCCTCTTTTATGCATTTCTACTTGACACTACCCTAGCATTAAAGGTTATATGACTTGAAAGCATCCGCTTCAGGTTACAGTTTTTATTGTGTTTTTGTTTTAATACTCTCTGTATATTAGGCAAAGATACACGTTTTAGACACTCTACATTAAAATCCCCTTCAATAATAAAATGACACACACACACAATTGCGCGCACGAGAAGCACCTTAGTGTCACCAATGGATCTGTTGTGCATCTTTTTGTTCTGTGGGAAGAAACTGCACCACGGTGACAACTAATGGTTGTATTTGGAGAACAAGCTAATCCAATAAAATTAACAAAATTAAATCATGAACCGTAGTTCACTGCCTAACCGAACCTGCATAAGTGTCCTTTAATCCGTTTTTAATATAATGAATGTGTTTGTATATACACACATTGGATTTTTGGGTGCATTTCCTAAGGGTTCAGCTCAGTAAATACTGGGTGAAGTTTAATTGAGAAAGGAAGACTGTTACAGGTGGTGTGGAACTGAGTTGCGTGTTAGTACAGGACTAACTGGATTTGAAAAGGAGTCTGCATCTGGTGGAGCGGACAGCATTGCAGTGGCAGCACTGATGGAAGCACATTTGTATTTGTTACCATGACAAACCTTCAAGAAGGTGTTTGGCATTGAAAAGAAAGTGCAAAAATCTAAACAAGTGTTTGTGCATTACAAATGCATCACAATGCTGAACACAAGTGCAACGAGGACTACATAATAGTTACAAGGAACGATTGTTGGAGAGATTTTCATAATTTCTGAAAAGAACATATTCCACCCTCCACTTGCTCTCCTCCCTGCTACCTCCCTCTCCGTGTGTCTCTCTCTCTCTGAGTCCCAGCCCCTGAAGGTGTCATAACTGTGCTCTCTCTCCTGCTCTCACTCCCTCTCGATCACCGCCTTTCAGATCTTTAAAAGCCGGGGCTTTGCTGTGTCTCTCTCAATCTCCATTTGTGTCTTGTGGCACTGCAGGGGACTCGACCAGCAAAGCACCAAGGACAACTGCCACACAGAAGCAAGAAGAGGAGAGAGGAGAGGGAAGGGAAGACAGAGAGTGATATATATCCAGAAATAGCATCAGCCACATTTAACTGACAGGGAGTGACAGTGAGCAGAACCTGAGACCTGGACACAAAATGCCTATCCTTTCTAACTTAACAGCTGTTGTTTTATTGTTGATTGCTCCTTGCGGATCATGGGCCGGAGCAAACCGCTGGGGCCCCTTCAAGGTCTGTCCCTCCTGCAAGGATCCTACGGGGGCAGGTCGGCCCCCAAGGGACCCTGATGTGGCTGGCAGCACGACAGTTTTGGCCCATGGGGAGCCGTGTGGTGTGTACACCCTGAGCTGTGCCAAGGGGCTCCGCTGTGTCCCCCCACCCAGGGAACACAGCCCCCTGCAGGCTCTGTTGCAGGGAAGAGGCATTTGCGCCAAGCACATCAGGACTAATCCCACCGAGAAGCCCTACCCCACAGGTAAGACACTTTACATGCACACACGTACATGCTGTTACACATGCATTTGCACGAATGCTACAATTAAGCTTAATGCACATGGCAGATTCTCTATAATTCTGCACACTTTGTCCACTGTTTATTGCATGCGATGCTATGTCGCTGACCAGGAAAACATAGGCTTGTTAAAGTGACATTTAGGTTTGGCTGCTTTCGTGCACCACAACTGAATTTGCAAACCTCCATCCTTGAGTACTGCGTTGCAGCACCCCTGGAGTCACTCTGGATTTTTTTAAATGTATTTTCAGTGCTGCTACTGAGCAGAAATTATGGTTCCAAGTCAGATTCAACAAGCCCCAGCAGTCCCTGCATAGAAATGTTGTGTGCTATAATGTCTCACCCTTCAGTTCAATGGTAGGGCTCGTGATAATGATCTGTGCCAGAAGCCGGCTTCTCTGGAAGATAAGAGAATGAAACTGTCACAGTGTCACCTACCTGATCAGGATGATCAGGCTGCTATCCACTGCCATGATCTCCATCTACTGTTCAAAAGGAGACACTGCGATTAGCTGGATGAAAAGGAAAAGTACTGATGAAAATTAGGTCTCTTATTAAAACGGCAAACCGCACACGGAGGTCTCCTCACAATCTCACTGGATCCTTCTGCAAAAAAAATAACTGGCACAATATCTCACAAAATAGAAATATTGTATGGAATTAAAAACAGTGTTTTCCATTCTCATGATGGCATTTCCTTTCCTCTCAGGTCCACATCCCCCACACTTGGGTGAGATTGAAAAAGTAAGTTTGAGCTCTTAATCTGCTGTCTATAATAAGTAATACTCATTCAACCTGTTTTAAAGATTCAGACTGTTTTGTGATGCACGGAGCCGTATGTTAGCTTTTGTCACAGATCTGCAGCTCTTTGTGCTGTTGCAGCAGCATGTACACGCGCCGCTCCAGAGCCATGCATTATGGTGCATGATGTGTGTGCTGCTATGCGGCAGAACAAATTGAGCGTGATGCGAGTCGGGGAAAGTTTGAAGCTGCTGCTGCAGCTGCAAATTTTGAATTGCGAGATTGGTTTTGGAAGTGACGTGCAGGCAGCTGAGAATTCAACAACAGTTAGAAAAACATTGTCCTTTTGGTTTATCCTGTGACCTGAAAAGCTCAAGCTCTGTGTATTGATGTGCCACATAATATGACACAATATGGGTATTGTCTGCTCCTGCCTGGAATGCTGCACTAGAAGCTAATCCTGTGGGATTCATGAGCACTTGTGCGGTGATGAAAGAGGGTTCCACCTGAGGCGAGACAGCAGCGTGTCACTGCCTCTTAACATGCTCCGTCATTGCTTCTGGTGATGTTTGAAGTCCCATCGTGCATTGCTGCTTTCAGGCACCCTGCCGCAAACTGCTCAACAGTGTTCTGAGGGGTCTTGAGCTGACCGTCTTTCAGTCTGACCGTGACATCTACATACCCAACTGTGACACCCGTGGCTTCTACAGGAAAAAGCAGGTAAATGTGTCCAACAGCTTAGTCACTCATTAGCTTTTTGAGCTGTAAAAGAGCCATTAAAAAGTCTCTCAATATTTCCCTTGTTTTCTCTCCATCTTTACCTTCTTCCACTTTTAAAATCTCCATCCCTTTGCTTTAATTTCACACAGTGCCGCTCCTCCAAGGGCATGCAACGTGGCCACTGTTGGTGCGTGGACGAGCTCGGTGCTCCCGTGCCTTCGCGTGCCAGAGAGGATGGCACTTTACCGTGTGACGGGGAGTGAGGGACGAGTCTGTCCCACAGCTCTGAGCCTGGAGGAGGAGGAGGAAGAGAAGCTGGAGCACAGGGAGAGGAGGGTGGCTTTAGCATGTGCTATACACTGCCTGGACAGGAGGTAGCAGGGATAAACCACTTCCTATAAGGGAAACAACACACACGCTAATGTCCTCTCTCGCAGCAAGACACACACTCTTCTTAAAGTCAGCAACAAAAACATCTGCCTGAATGTTCAACAGCTGCAGCCGCGTCCTCTGCGTCGTTTCTGTGACACATCAATGCTCCGTGAACTGCCTCAGCAACCCAAGCAGTGTTACTCTGAATGATCTCTGCGTTCCCTGGCTCTTGTCCCGGCTTTTCTGCTTGATTTTATTTTCTTTCTTCTTTTCAATTTAGAATAGCTGACACTGCCTGTGTTCATTCTGATCTCAGTGGGCTGAAATACTGTTACACAGGTGATGCGTTGGAGAAACGCATCCCTCACCGTCCTTTCTCCGCCTCTCCAAAGATACACTGATATCGTCATGACTAACTGATTGAAAGCGTTTATATTCACTACTAATTTATTTTTGAGTAGGTATTTCCATTAAGTACGGCTTGAATCCTGTAATATCATCAAATTTAAAAAATTTGGCACAGAAAGTAATAAACATTTATGTTTTGTTGGTCATTGCATTGTTGCAACAATACTTCTCCGTTCCTTTTCTTCTTCTTCTTGCTTCTGATACAGTTGGAAAGCCTGATTGGTCACCTTCACTGCCAGGTTGAAGTTGTAAGGATTACGTATTTGTTGATGGAGCAGCACAGATTAACATGTGGGTAGCTCCAAAATATGTGCCAAATTTAATTTAACATGTTTCAGTTGGTATTCACTCTTGTTCGGTTTCTTGGTTGATTAGATGATTAAACTTTTCCTCGGTAACTAAGAGAAAAAACAAACACATATTGGCCCTTTTTGATTTTTGATTTTCCATTTTCACGGTCAGGAGCCTCAGCTCTTTGAGAAAGCCGAGGTGTACGCAGCACAACAGCTGGGCTCCTCCTTATGCTGGTCACCAGTCTCGTCACACGCTGTTTTAGGTTAACCAGCATAGTGGTCACTCAGAACAGTGGTTTTCAATCCTGGTGCGGGAGAACCGGTATCCAGCATGTTTTTGTTGTTCCTCTGCTCCAACTCATTACATTCAGCGATTTATCACCCGTGCAGCAGCTTGTTAAGCTCTGCAGAAGCCCGTTTATCACCTGCTGATGAAAATCAGGTGTGTTGGAGCAGGGAAACAACAAAGACATGCCGGTTACCGGCCTTCCAGGAACAGGACTGACCCCTTCATAAGCTGTTTGAGAGCTGTCAATAGGTTATTTACCAAACACCCAGCCCTGGACCACACCTGCCAGCACGAAGCTCAGAACCAGAAGGAATACCACTGGGAGAACGTTGCTTTGGATTTTGACAGCTTATGGGGGAGCTTTTGTCACACCTTTAGAAGTTTACACCTTTTATGTCTACTCAATTCTTACAGTTTGTACCTTATAGTAGAAGAGACTGGTCGGGTTTTCCAACTGTGTAAGATTTAAGACCACGAAGCTTCAACGCAAAATTTAAACAGAAATCAGTCAACCGAAATGTCCTTACCTTTTGGTCTCAAGCTAATATAAGAATAAATGTCAAGAGACAGTAAGTCATAACTCTGGATACCTCTGTAGATTTTGTTAGTCATAACTATAATTTCATTACTTCATTTTTTGTACATATTTTGAAATTTTGTGCTCAACTGTTTGTTTGGAAGCGGCAGACACAAAGCTCACAGCTTTCCCCCTTTTCAGAAACAAGTTGTAAGACATATTTTTATACACTTCAGTATATTTTATATATGAATCGTTGATTTATTTAATGAACTACAGTACAATGCCATGTATTTTTATATTGTCAGCAGTTTTTTTATTTAAAGACAGAGATTATTTTATGTCATGACAGAAAGAGGTGTTGATGGCAACGCTCGCCACATTCATCAGTTCAACCACTGTACATGTAAAGCTCAGTCCTGTTCATGATACAAGCTTTGTTTGTGTTTATTTTGGGGGGTGAGTTGAGAATGTTCAAGTTACGCCTGGATTTTACTTTGATATATCGAGTCAACTTGGATTTCAGAACAGGAAACGGATCGGATTTGTTATTTGTTGATGTCTCTCCTATGTCCTTGCGGAAGTCTTGAATTTGTGTGCAACTAAATAGAATTAATCTATTTCTGACCAATCTTGTTGTGCCAGTGTGTGTGTGCCGTGGTGATAGGTCTGTGCACAAAGGACCTGTAAGACGTTTGCAAATACAAAATAAACTATAATATAGTAATAAAAACTGAGAAGAATAAAACATATATTAATATAATATATTTTGTTGAGTGGGTTTCATTTGAGTCAGAAGATGAGTGCTGAGTCATGATGATGCCATTAAAAAGACATTTGAACAGAACCTGGAAGCTGAAGCCAGAACTAGCAAGCATGCAACATGATGAGCCACCAGTTGTGTGCATAACTTTTATAGACACGATGTCTAGATGTGGCCGTGGTGGAGAGTCTTCAGATAGAGAGGCCTCAAACTGAACTGCTGTTTGTATGGATAATGTTGTGCCTCATTGAGCCAGAACCTCCAGCAGGTGGTGGGATGGTCTTTGGATAAAGATTAGTACTTCTGAGTCTAAGGCCACTGTCCTTAGCCGGAAAAGAGTGGCTTGCCAACCCCAGGATGTGGAATCACTCAAACAGGACACCACAAGGTGACTTGGGGCGGCATCTTCTGGGTGCATCGATGTGGATGTGTTGTGGTGAGGAGAGAAATTAGTTTGTAAAAAGCAGTCAGTTTACCAGTTGACCTACACTCCAACTGTTGCCTATCGTCATCAAAATAATACGATGACGTACGCCAGCACGTTGCCCTCATATGATTTCAAGTATGAATGAATGCCTTGTGAGCCATGTTCTGTGGAAAAAGCTCAGATTCCCCTGTTTCAGGGCAGTCCGGCAAGCCGTCCTATATGTGAATATATACACTCACCTAAAGGATTATTAGGAACACCTGTTCAATTTCTCCTTAATGCAATTATCTAATCAACCAATCACATGGCAGTTGCTTCAGTGCATTTAGGGGTGTGGTCCTGGTCAAGACAATCTCCTGAACTTCAAACTGAAGGTCAGAATGAGAAAGAAAGGTGATTTAAGCAAGTTTGAGTGTGGCATGGTTGTTGGTGCCAGATGGGCCTGTCTGAGTATTTCACAATCTGCTCCATTACTATGGGATTTTCACCCACAACCATTTCTATGGTTTACGAGGAATGGTGTGAAAAGGGAAAAACATCCAGTGTACTGAATGTTTGCACTGATTGCCGATCACGCTTCAACTGAGTTGTCCTCGGTCAGAAGGATTGGCACTCCACAGTGATGTAGTCCAAGTAGTTTTATTAAAGAGGTAGCAGATGACATCAACAAGTGAGGCAATTGCATTCCCATCTATGAATGCAGGTAAAGGGAGTGTGAGTGTGCAGGAGTATGTGGGTGTGGTAATCTGTTAACAGAAAGAACAACCATTAGTATGAATAGCAGTGTACCGCTTATACAGCACTGTGGGTTTCCAGCATGAAGTTATATGATCTGCTATAAACCTCATGGCCACTAGATGCCACCCTAAGACCATACATGAATTTCTTGTTCGTATATGCATTAGCAAGCAAACAGTATCTCTACAGGTCAGATAATAAACACAGAAAATAGTTCTATCCACCTTCAACCACCATACTTGACAGTGAGTCGTATATGGAATGCCATATAAGTTGCAACCAAGGCTGCCTGAAGTAGGCCAACAAAACCTGCAACTTAGCAACAGGACTAGCTTCTTACTTAGTGATTTACACAGAGCAACTCACAGATAAAGTCAAATAAGCATCAATCTCATCTTATAATACTCACATGATAAACACGCACACCAAGGGTAACTCACACAGGAACGCACGAGAAAAACGCTGATCATCCAACACCTTTCAGCTGTGCTGAACTGCGCTAAACACGTTCCCAACGGGAAGTACAGATACCGAGGTGCATCATGGGTAATGTAGTCTAAACGGTGTTCACAAACATTATTCCTCTGGAAAGCGGACTTTTAACATCCAGTATGCAGCAGTCCTGTGGGCGAAAATGCCTTGTTGATGCTAGAGGTCAGAGGAGAATGGGCCGACTGATTCAAGCTGATAGAAGAGCAACTTTGACTGGAATAACCACTCGTTACAACCGAGGAACGCAGCAAAGCATTTGTGAAGCCACAACACGCACAACCTTGAGGCGGATGGGCTACAGCAGCAGAAGACCCCACCAGGTACCACTCATCTCCACTACAAATAGCAAAAAGAAGCTACAATTTGCACCGGCTCACCAACATCGGACAGTTGAAGACTGGAAAAATGTTGCCTGGCCTGATGAGTCTCGATTTCTGTTGAGATGTCCAAATGGTAGAGTCAGAATTTGGCGTAAACAGAATGAGAACATGGATCCATCATGCCTTGTTACCACTGTGCAGGCTGCTGGTGGTGGTACTGTAATGGTGTGGGGGACGTTTTCTTGGCACACTTTAGGCCCCTTAGTGCCAATTGGGCATGGTTTAAATGCCACGGGCAAGCTGAGCATTGTTTCTGACCATGTCCATCCCTTCATGACCACCATGTACCCATCCTCTGATTGCTACTTCCAGCAGGATAACGCACCATGTGATAAAGCTCCAATCATCTCAAATTGGTTTCTTGAACATGACGATGAGTTCTCTGTACTACAACGGCCCCCACGGTCACCAGATCTCAACCCGATAGAGTATTTTGGGATGTGATGGAACGGGAGCTTGGTGCCCTGGATGTGCATCCCACCAGGGACGAAATTTTGATTTCAGAAGTGGGGGGGGACACAGCAGGCTTGTGCGGATTTGGGGTGGGGGGTGTTATGTAAAGACCCCTTGACACGTCACGTGCCCATCTCAATAATTTTTCCATCCTCAATATATATAATATATATATATATATATATATATATATATATATATATATATATATATATATATATATATATCAGAGTTAAAAAATGTACAACTCTATTAATATTTTTATTTATTATCATTATTGAAGTGCAGTTTTGGCTGTTGACAATGTATTGGTCATTGTATTTATTGTTTTGGGTGTTTTTTTTATTGTTTTTGGTGCAACATTTTCTAACAGGGAGTGAGATTCCTTTTTTATTTAATTTTTGTTTGTTATTTTTATTCATTTAGAAGTTCTGGTTCTGGACATTTCAGTGTTAAATGAAGGTTTATTTGTTGCATTTTAAAGGGTGTACTTGCATTATTATGATATATTAACATTATATTAGTGGTTATTTTGGTCTAGATAATGTTGACAATATCGTTTATCATCAACAATTTGTTGGACAAAATATCGTCCAGCAAAATGTGTTACTTTCCCAGGCCTAGTCAAAAGTATAAAAAGTATTTATACATAAACGGTCCCTCCTGAGATCTGGCCGTTTGTTCATTTGCTGTGTTAGAGGACATGCTGAACTAATGTTTTACACATGATCATCACCCTAACATTTGAGTGTATAAAAACATATTAAATATGTTTTTTCCCTTAAAAGTGGTTAAACAGTTGTTGCATTTCAACACACAAAAAATAAATGGAAAAAATAAGATAAATCTAATGAAAAGTGTACATCTTTGACATTAAGCTTAAAAAAATCTGTTGACGATAATGATACTGTTCATTTTTCAGAGCTTTTTAATGTGAAAATATACATTGCAATAGATAAGTTTACAATAAAGTTAAATGATAAAAGTTTTGAAGTTACACTTCTACTACTACTAGTAATAATAATTATGATAATAGTAATAATAAAAAAATAATTATTATAATAATACAAATAAATTGTGTCTGAGGAGTCAGTTATGTGGAGGAGATGAGTTTGTAAAAGTTAGTTTTGAGTATGTGTGTGAAGGAGGAGGTGAGTCTGAGCTTAATGCAGGTCTGTCACATGTTCCAACTTACGTTTTGACTTTGAAAGAAGTCTCTTATATCCACTTTTCGTTTTCTTGACATGCTGCCTCCTGGCTGTGCCTAACTACCAAAGACTCACAAATGAACACTTATTCAAATGTTATGTAATGGAAGCTGAGCTGAGCTCTGATATTACACAGCGTCTAGTTGACGATGTGACTCAGTACCGGTGTTCCCTAGCGGCTCCAAACTAGCAAAACAACGTGAGCACGTTCTGACTGTTTACAACTTGAGTGACAGCAGCAACAGCCAATAATACGTTAGCAAGTATCAGCAGAGCCAATAGATTAGCTTTTGGGCGGGTCTAATAGTAAACCGGTTTCCGTTTCGGTCCTAGTGCTCAACCAAATCCATTTAATGGAGCGTAACATTGTTTTTGGACGGAAAAAAGTGCAGGGGACCAAAACTGCCTTTTGAAAAAGTGGGGGGGACATGTCCCACCCGCCCCCCCCCCAAAATTACGTCCCAGCATCCCACACATCTCCATCAACTACAAGATGCTCTCCTATCAATATAGGCAAACATTTCTAAACTGACAGAGGACTGTGACTGGCCCATTAAACAGATAGAGAGTTGTTATTGGCCCATCAAACCGACAGAGCACTGCGATTGGTCCATCAAACAGACACAGCGCTGTTATTGGCTCTCCAAACCGACAGAGCCCACGGTCCTATAAATCAAAATCATTTTGCTTTGGCCACTGCCTGACCTGGCAATAATTTAATACATGTTTCTGAAACTGTCTTTCACATTTGTTTTTCTCATTTATACCTAAATTTGTCTGTTTTCTAAGGAGAAATGACAACAATGAGTTTTAAAGAGTTTTTATGTGTATTTTCTTTGTTTGACTTCATTTGCAGAAAGTAGATTTTCACATACCTCTCAGTGAGAGTGTGCAGCATTACCACCCACCAAACACCAAACATATGTATTATTCAATAAAACAGGATAAAGCTACGCTAATTTTTACTAAACAAAACCTGCTGTTATTGTAAGCTGAAATCCATTTTCAAACCTTACTGACACCTGGAGGTTGACTTTATTAATATTTAACTAAAGCAAAACCAGGGATCAACTTTGTGTCATACCAGTAACTTGACTGACATCCACTTGTTTTTAATCCCTAACGCAGAGCACTACAGCATGTTTTAAAGAGACTCTGTGTGGAAGCTTTGTTATGCTTCTGGGGAAAAAATGGGTTACAAGTAATTAATATAACTTACAAAATACTTTGAGAAGTCACAATATGAAATTTATGTCATCAGAAATGTAAGAAGTCATGTTTTCGACTTTCATTCATAATTATTTCTAACTTGAACATTACAACACACCATGTGGCTAATTTGCCTCCTAGAGGCAAAAATCAGCTTTGATACGTTATCACAGTCCAAAGGTTATTTACTAAGCTTGCAAAGGGCCTTTCTTCTGCTAGACTGATGTTATATCGTATTATATTTTCATTGAAGTATTTTATTTTCTGTAAAGTCGTCTAAAAATATAAAGTACCCGCCCTCAATGGTGTTACGTCACCCCATGTATCAATTTTCTTTGGGCCCTGACAGCTGTCAATCATAAACACATCACGTGGCTATCAAAAAATAACGCAGGTGGGCTCGAGGGGGCGGTGGAGGACCAGCTGTCAGCAGCCTGTGGTAGAGCTGTTCTCTGTGATCAGGTCTCAGCGAGTAAGTAATGAACATTTCGGTAGGTTAAACATTAATTTGTATTTTACTAAAACAGTGTCCGATAAACTACTGGTGTTTGGGCGCGTGGCATTGGATTTTTAAAGCGGTGTGTGGAGGGGACAAGAAAAACCAGTTTTAGTGTCACCGCCCGCTCCAGCTCTCCCTGTGGGGGACGAGGGACGACTGTTTGCGGACATGGCTGCCCTCGGTAATTCGGCCACCACATCCAACCTGGCGCCAAAGACGAAGACGAAAAAGAAGCACTTCGTGCAGCAGAAAGTGAAGGTGTTTCGAGCGAGCGACCCCGTCCTGAGCGTCTTCATGTGGGGCGTCAATCACTCGGTGAGTGGGTGGAAGCTAAATGCTAACGTCAGTGGAGCTAATGTAGCTTAGCCTCAGAGGCAGCCTGACAGCTCAACCATGCATCACGTTTACAATCTAATGAAGGCGTAACGACATATGGGACACTTTCTGACGAGCTCAAATATTTCTTTAGCTAGTCTCCTTAGCATCAAACACCTATGCGTGTGTGTGTGTGTGTGTGTGTGTGTGTGTGTGTTTCTAGGTTTTATTGGACTTTACACAAGTTTAAATCGTTTTTTTATTGATGGTTTCGAAGTGTAAAATAATTAGGACAAGATCAGGATCAGAGGGATTTATTTTCATTTAGAATTTAAAAACTTTACACCCCTCATACGTTCTTAACATAAAAATATCTTAAAAAATATTAACACCATTCAGTGTTATGTGATTAATAACTATTTAATAGCTTTGATTATTGCGAACCAATAGATATACCCACGTTATAGAACTGTTGACATACTGGACTGAAACACATACTGGTTGTTTCTGCAGGCTGCTCCTGATGTCAGAATGAAGCCAGCCTCAGTTTGTAAAATCCATAATAAAATCTAGGGATGCACCGATACCACTTTTTTCCAAACAGATACCATACCGATACTTGTATCTGAATATTTGCCGATACCGATTACTGATACCTATACCTCTACTACACAAAAAAATGCAATGATTTGGAATACAGATTTTATTTTCTTCTCTGCTTTCAACAGGAAAAGACTGTGAGGTAGATAAAAAGTAAAATTTATGAATAGAAATCACCACAAAAGTAAAATATTAGGTGAACAGAAATGACAAGTTACAGTGAAGCCATTTTCAAGCAACCGCATTGGTATCGGTTCCTGGTATCGGCTAACTTTTACGATACCGATACCAGTATCGGTATCGGTGCATCCCTAATAAAAACATTTTTGCTGTTTTTGTCACAGCAAAAATATTAGAGATATTTTACTAAATAACACAAATACCTGATACAGCCAGAAATACATATTTGTTTCTAATTAGTCGATAGATCAGTTTAAAAAGTGTTAAGTTTATTCTGCTTCTGAATGTCTTGAGTGGACATCCTGACCTATTTGTGTCTTTGTGTTTTAGTGCAACAATCTAGAAAATAATCTTATTGATCTGTGTTTGTTACGGTGTCTGGAGCTGCATTCTTCTGGCAGATGTTTGGCTGCATTAAATCACACACCGTCAGCATGCTCATCTTCACATTTCAAAGTAACTTAGTAAACGCCTACATGTTTTTGCTCCTCGTAAGGCTGTCTTTTGTTCCTGCATAAATATAGACGGGAACAAAATTGTTGGTACTCTTTGGTCAATGAAAGAAAAACCTACAATGGTCACAGAAATAACTTGAATCTGGCAAAAGTACTAATGAATAAAATTCTATCTAAAATTCTGTCAGACCTGGACAAAAATGATGGTACCCCTAGAAAAGGACAAAAGGGACATGTTAATTCAAGATGTGTCCACTAATTAGCATCATAAGTGTCTACAAGCTTGTAATCAGTCAGTGGGCCTATATGTAGGGCTCCAGGTAGTCACTGTGCTGTTTAGTAACATGGTGTGTACCACACTCAACAAGGACCAGAGGAAGCGAAGGAAAGATTAGGAAGAAAATTATAGATAAGTATGTTTAAGGTAAAGACCACAAAACCATCTCCATGCAGCTAGATGTTCCTGTGACAGCAGTTGCACATATTAGTGAGAAATTTCTGATCCATGGGACTATAGACACCCTCCCTGGACGTGACTACAGGAGAAAAATTGATGACAAATCAAAGAGACAGATCATCTGAATGGTAACTAAAGAGCCCAGAAAACTTATAAAGGAGCGCTTCAAGATCAAGCAACATCAGTGTCAGATCGCACCATACGTCGTCGTTCGAGCCAAAGTGGTCCACATGGGAGACGACCAAGGAGGACATTGTTGCTGAAAACAAATCATAAAATAGCCAGACTGGAATATGTCAAATTACATGATGGCAGGTCCCTAAGCTTCTGGGAGAATGTCCTTTGGACAGATGAGACTAAATTGGAACTTTTCCCCCAGGTTTTAATGACCACGGACAGAAAATATCAAGAAAGGAACACTGTCTCTGCTGTGAAACATGGAGGAGGCTCAGGGTGTCCTGAATCTCTGCAGGGTTCAATGAAATCTCAACACTGTCAAGGGATTCTAGAGAGAAATGTGCTGGCCAGAGTGTCAGAAAGCCTGGTCTCAGTCGCAGGTCATGGGTCTTGTAACGGGACAGTGACCCAAAACACACAGCTAAACACACCCAAGAATGGCTAAGAGGAAAACACTGGACTAGTCTAAAGTGGCCTATGAGCCCCGACCTCAATCCTACTGAGCATCTTTGGAAGGAGCTGAAACATGCTGTCTGAAAAAGGCGTCCATCTGAAGCGCTTTGCTCATGAGGAGTGGGCCAAAATACCTGCTGAGAAGTGCAGAAGTCTCATTGAGAGTTACAGGAATTGTTTGATTGCAGTGATTGCCTCAAAAGGTTGTGCAACAAAAAATGAAGTTAGGGGTACCATTGTTTTTGTCCAGGCCTGTTCCATGAGTTATTATATATTTATTTATTTATTTATTAATCCTGTTGAAGCGTGGTTGAAAAGCAATGTCTGACTCTGACTTTATTTATTCATTTGGGTATTTTTAAAAATGAAAAGATAACCCAGTAATACAAAAATCACAAAGGCTGAAGCCCAGCTTTGGTTTGCCTGCCATTTTTACACAGTCAGGTTTTTACTAATATAGAAATAAAAATAATAGTATATTACAGCAGTAAATAAATAAAACTACCAGCATTCTTTCCAAGTAAAAAAAATATGTACAGATCCTTCCCTGAACATGAACCCTTACATGTACACATAATCGTTACGTTTTCGTTTTAGTTAAATTTCATATTTTTTATTTATTATTAATTTTGTCAGGTTCAAGTTATTTCTGTGATCATTGTGGGCTTTTCTCTCATTGATCAGTGGGTACCATCAATTTTGTTCACATCTGTAATTACTAGCTGCAGTAATGGTGAGTTTTCTCGGTGATCTGTTGAAGTATGAATTCTCCTTTGTGCAGATCAATGACCTCAGCCAGGTCCCTGTACCTGTCATGCTGCTGCCTGATGACTTCAAAGCCAACACGAAGGTCAAAGTCAACAACCACCTCTTCAACAAGTAAGACACACGCACACACAGCACTTTGACAAATTAAGAGATTGAAATGCTGAATGCAATTATGTTTAATGGTGCATTGGGTAGATAATTAGTAAAATGACATCTTGTGTTAAAATTTGGTTACTGCTACCACTTTAAACAACTGAAGCTTTTTGCTAGCTGTCGTCAAATTACGCTGCAGTATTAGCTCTAGGGATGGGTACCTTTGACATTTGAATCGATCCGGTACTAATTCCCGGTACCTAGAAATCGATACCGGTACTTAACGGTACCAATTTTTGATACTTTTGAGTGTTTAATATTTTTAATTCTCTTTTATAATTAAATATATATTTTTCTCAATATATAACCATATTTGATAAATATCACGATAAATAACATTCAACTGTTTGTATTTTAACATCGTCCTTGTAGTTTTATAAGTTGATAATTAAACTGAAGCAAACATCTTTACTGTGAACTAAATTTACTGTGTATCTTCATTCCTTTTACCATCCTTTTTCATTTGATTTTTCCTACTGGGAAGTTAGAATTTCCGAGGAGAAAGCGAACGCACCATTAGCTGATAACAATGGTGGCAATGGAAGCTAACATATCAAGCTAACGTTATCTTAAACAGTTTATTTAACTGCTGGAGCAGATTAAAACGATGATGCCTCACACTTAGATCGTTGTCACTGGTTTCTTCTTCACCCAGTCACCCGTCACATTTAGTAAAGTGAAGCCAAACTTTAGAGCGCGTTCATGTTCTTCTAGTCGGAGTTTCGGAGTTCCGAGGAGAAAGCGAATGCACCATTAGTGAAACGGAAGCTAACCAATCAAGCTAACGTTATCTTAAACATTTTATTTACCTACCGGAGCTGCTCTGTTTACTACTCGCTCGCAGCGACCGATGACATAACGCTCTTGCGCATGCGCAGCTGTCTAGACAAGTTCTCGTTGTGAAGGACGGGTACCGAAACGAGGCACCATTTCAAATGAAGTGAATCAGTGCTCGGTCGGTACCTTAAAAAGTACCGAATTCCGTACCCATCCCTAATTATAATAATAATAATAATACATTTTATTTCAAAGCGCCTTTCAGGACACCCAAGGTCACTTTACAGAAAACACGTAATAAAATACAATAAAACAATAATAAAACCCAAACAAGAAAAAACAAATAGAGAAACAGTTCAATAAAATCAGAGGTTGTAAGCAGATTTAAACATGTGTGTTTTGAGTTTTGATTGGAAAAGGGTAAAACTGTCGATGTTCCTGATGTCTGGGGGAAGTGAGTTCCAGAGACGGAACTCAATTAGCTCGCAGGAGACACGACAACCCCACACTCACTGATGGTACCAGTAGTTACATCCCTCCTTCCTTTGTTGTGAAAGGACAAAAACTGACAACCCCTTCAAGCAGCTGGATATGAAATATGTTTCAGTAAAACCTTCTTTCCAAAATGACTGAAACATTAGACTCTTGGGATTTTCTCACTGTAAAATTCTCACTATCTTCTTACATACTGCACCTTTAATGTTGACTGTCGAGGTTGACGTGTATTTTGTTGAGGCCTGAGAGCAACGTCCCTGTAACTTTGTCTCCTTTACCAGAGAAAATCTTCCGGGACACTTTAAGTTCAAAGAATACTGCCCTCAAGTCTTCCGAAATTTAAGGGAACGTTTTGGTATCGAGGATCTGGACTATCAGGTGGGGGTGAT